CTTCGTGAACGGTTTCAAGCCGCCTGAGACCGCTTTCGTGGCGACAACGGGGGGCTCGCGGCTCCTCCTAGAGACGCGGCCCTGGAGACTCCCAGGCTCCCGGCACGCTCGCCGGCAGCGGCTCTTTGGCGGCGGAGACTTCCACGGGAAGCCCGCGGCCTTTCTGTTTTCAAACAAGCTGACCATTTGGCCGGAAGAGGGACCGGCCAGAAAATCAGAAAATGAGGAGCCCCGATCCTCGGACCTGACCTGGCGGTTCCCTTCATCGCTGGGCAGTCAAGGGGAACACACCGAAGCAGATGGATGCGGCAGGCCGGGAGACCCAAACTGAGGCTGGTCTGGGGAAGAACGAGGCACCCTGACAGCCATTCATTCCGCTACCGCTTTGCAAAAATGGGGCTGGGGCCGCTCTCTCTCTTCACAGGGAGGAAGGAGCTCTGAGAGGGAGTCAGTTGCTTTTCCAGAGAGGGTGATTTCACTCCAGCAGCAGCCGCCGCTGCTGCCAGAGTGCTGCAGTTTGGGAAACGGGGGGCTGTGCCAGTCCCGCTGAGAAGGACATGGCAGTCCCCAAGACCAGCCTCCGCAGCCTGGGCCCTCCAGAGCGCAGGGATTGCAAGTCCCAGAATGCCTGGCTAGTGCTGCCGACTCCCATAAGCCACGTTGGCCTGCATCCCAAGCACTGTAACACCAGCCCGGGGGGGGGGGGGCGTGCAGGTTGTGGCAGACCATAAAGCCTGGCAGGGTGGTGGTGGAGGAAGGCGCTCTCTGCTCAGTTCCGGGAGAGGCGATGAGTGCCAGTGCGTCCATCTGCAGGAACAGCCCGGGGTCCCAGCAACAACAGCAACACTAAAGCTGCTGAGCAGGTCTGCAGGATGTTGGTCCCTCCCTTGGAAAAGGGAGACAGGCACCTGCTTTCAGGAGCCGAAGGGCTGAGCCAGCCCCCAATTACCGGCTTCCTTCAGCAAAACAAGAGAACCGGGCGGAGGGTGAGGCTCATCCAGACGATTCCAGGGCGGGGAAGGTGGCCCGGCCCTTCCTTTTGAGGCCACGGGGCCAATGCTGCTCCTGACCGTTGGGGTCCAGGTGAGCTGAGGCAGGCCAGGTGCCAAAGCTGCAGTCCCAGGGTGGGGCTAGCATGGAAGAGTTGGCAGTGTGGCCCTCGAGGTTCGGAGGTGGGAGCAGTCAGTGGCCTGACTGAGCCAAAGATCTGCTCTGCAGGGAAGGAGCTGCTCTGGGTGGCAAATAAATTGTCCAGCGGAGACATGATTAAAGAGAAGGGACTTGATTTATTTCATTCCAGTGCCCAAAGGCAGTCTCATTCAGGAGAGAAGTCTTTTTTTGAAAGATTCCCTCCCTGCCCCAACAATGAAGAAATGTGAAATCCGTTCGATGGCGAAGGAAAGCATCATTTGGCTTCTTCGGTGGAGAATCGTGACTGGACCCGTCACCAAGGGTCCATCTGGGCCAAAACCTTCATCCCTTGCTGCTTGTCTTCCAGAAAGTGGAAATCGGGATAGACTGGGTCTGATTACGGAGGCGCCATTTCACCATCCCGTCAAAAGGGCTTTGAGCACCCATGCCACAGATTTGGCCGCTGGGCAGCCCACAAGAAAGTGGCCTTTGCCGGATTGTTGCAGCTTCCTTCGGGCTCACACCCTCCCTGGCTTCTCTCCAGGGAACGTTGGTCCGTTCTCCACATCCGAGAGGCCCCAGACCAGCAAGGGGAGCCCAGGCAGGCAGGAGGAGGCTTTGCAGGAGGGCCTGTCTCTGGGGAGGCTTCACCCTGCAGGGGACTGGTCTGCAGGAGCCGCCCAGGCTGCAGCGTTGCTGGAACAGGCAAGGGTTACCCAGAGGCCCAGGAGGATGGCTTGGCCTTCCGCGTGGGAGGGCGGGAGGTCCCTGGAGGCCAAGCTGGCTGCGGAAGTTGGGGGATTGGGCCTTGCTGTCTGGGGCAATGGGCGATGGAGCCCAGCTGGAGGCAGGGGTGTGGCTGTGTGTCTAGACCACACTGCGCAAGAAGCCCCGGGCCTCCAAAAGGCTGGTCTCCGTCCCCAGACCCCTCGGGGCACTCACGAGGGCAAGGACAGGCGGTCACCCTGCCCTGCAGGCCTGTGAGGATTCCCTCGCCTCCCCTCAGCCTTTTCCCTCTACCCCCCAACTTCAGCCCTGACAGGCTCTCCCCCTCCCCGCTGTGCCCCACAGCTTGATGAGGTTTTCCACTGGGATGTCGCCTGCCTGCAAGCGGATCCCTTCCCCAGATCACAGCTGGGGGGAGTCGGCCACAGCTGCAAAGGAAGAAAAGGGGGGCGCAAGGAAATTGCAGGCCTCTTCAGACAGGCATTGAAAAAATGCCTCACGTGACACTCTTGCTTGGCAGAAGTCCCAGCTGTGTGGGGCTTAACTGGAAAAAGGCCACCCTTCTGCTGCACAGAGCGCCCAGGCCCAGGCCCACAACAGGCGGGCTTATTTCTCTGCGGCTCAGCCTTTTGCACACTGCAAAACTGGGGGAGGAAGCGCTGACAGGTCCTCGGCTCTGAGAAGCCTAAATATGCAAAACTCCCCCCTGCTTTGCGCAATTCCTTTGCCTCGCGGGGAACTTTCAGGAAAGAACAGAGGCCTGGTCCTGCACTCCTGGAAACCGTGCCCAGCACCCAGCCAATTTTCTGGGAATCTGCAGGAGTGGCAGCTTAGCAGCCGGAAGGGGAGTGTGAAGAAACAGCCTTGTGGCAGAATCACAACCCCAGGCAAGGCCGCCCAGGAGCCTGAGCAGGGCCGGGTGGCTGTCCGGGGGAAAGATGCCCACTTTGGAGGCCCTTCTGGGAAATGGGAGCTGCCTGTTATCCCAGGGCAGGGCTGGCTTGAGATAAGAGGAGGAGGAGGAGGGGAAGGCAGCCTTCCCCTGCACCCCAAGCATTTTACAAGCCAGTTGCAGCAATTCCTTGCAACAGGAGGGCGTCCTTCAGGGTCGCCTAGATCTTTGCTCTTGGGCCTTGGCAGAGGAAATGGTGGTGGAGGCCGCCCTGGTTTCACTCCGCGGCAAGAGCAAAGGCCCAGCCCCTTAGCACTTAGCGCTTGGCTTGGCATGCCGTTTGCTTCTCAGTTCTCCACCCCAGATGCAGCTGAAGGAACAAGCTTAGGAACATTTTGGAACACACGTTTTTTACAACGGGGTGAAACAGTGAGGTCTGTTGCAATCTGGAACCTGCTCCAACTACGCAACATCTGTTCACAAAAAAAAAGAAAGAAAAGAAAAAGCTTTCCACTGAATAAGGCCCTGGCTTATTTCTGCTGAACAGAAAAATTAAAAAGGGAACGTTTTACAGAGAATGTTGGCTGACTCCTCTGAGCTAAGGTCCTCCAAAGGAGAACCAAATTAAGCGCGCTTACTCAGACATCCTAGAAGTGACCACATAGTCCCAGCTCAGGTAAATCTCCATCCATTAGAAATGCAGCGCCAGCTGCAGGTATCTGGCCTGGTCCTGTGCAAAATGGCACATCTCTGAAGAGTTTACTGCTTGGTCCCTGTCCCATGACCATGCAAGGCGTGCAGGCGGAGGCCTTTTAAGGTAAAGCCGGCCCCTAAGAAAGACTCAAGACAGGCTTAGGCATTGTTTTCAGAATGTAAAACGTGTTTATTATAATTTTAATCCAGGTATGAGAATAAATTTGCATTTGGCTTCTGCATCTCCAGAATTTCATCTTCAGAAAAAAGATAAAAACAAACATGCAAATCTTCCAAGATAAATAAAAGCCGTCAGTATCAGTAGGTTCCTTAGAACTAGAAAAATACTTCGCAGCTAACTTTTGGAAACCAGTCCTGTTTGCGCAAGTTCACAGACGTGAATTTCGGCCACCTCCTTACGGAGTCCTGGGGAGGAGAGGTCTGGCCCCTTCCCTGACCCTGAGCCTCCAGCAGAGGCGCTTGGCTTTCCAGCTGATCCACGCAGTCAGGCAGTCAGTCCCTCCTCGTCCGCCCACTGGCACTCGCACGCAGCAAGAACGGCTCCTCCACCCCACAGGGAGCCTGGCACCCACAAGGGCCCGCAGCCGCTGTCCTGCCTCCTTCCCAGCAGTCAGCTGACGGAGCAGCAGCAGCAGCCCCCCTCCTCCTCCTCCTCCTCCTCCTCCAGGCCAAGTCAGACCTTCCGCTCGCTCTCGCTGTCTGTCTGGGTGACTCATCCACCACTCGCCTTCCGACAGTCAGGCGCTATTGTAATTTTTACAGAAACAACATTCTTCCTCCTTTGGACGCAATTGTTTCACACATGACACTCCGCACCAGAAAGCAAAGGGGCCTCAGCGTGCCTGCAGAGCCACGTAGGGCACCCACTGGTCGTTGCACCGGCTCTCCTGGCAATAGGTGGCCACTTCGGCCAGCCCCTGGCTGGTCCAGGAATCCGTGTGGGGGGTCTGCTGGGAGAAACACAGAACGGCCCCTTAGTTCCAAGCGAGCCTCCGCGCCCGGCCGGCCCGGCCCGGCCCCTCCCCGCAAGCGCCTCCGCCTTCTCCCTCCGCAGCCCGGCTCACCGTCACCAGCAGGCAGTGCAGGTCACGCGGCTCCGCTGCGCCCCCGTCCTGGGGGCTCTCGCCCAGCACGGCCGCCAGGCGCTCCAGGCCGGAGACGCGCAGGATGTGGATGTCGTTGGCGCAGCAGAAGGCCTGGATCAGGGTGAAGTGGATCTGCAGCGCGATGTCCTCCCCGTCCTCCTCGTCCACCGCCAGGAGGCAAAGCACCACGCTGTCCGGGTCGCTGCGGGGAAGGCGGCGGCGGGGGGTCAGCGGCGGCCCGCGTTCGCTCGCTCGCCCAC